TGAGATATCAAAGGTAACTATGCTAACATCTGCTCATCGGAGCCGTATTTATATCGAATTGATCAAATATATTTGCATTTCGCAAAGGCTGTTGCTTCCGAAATCTGCTCTGGACGATTTCAAGGTCAACAGTTATTAATGAAGAACCGCTCAGAGAAATAACTTGTTTTTTTATTTCTACTAAAACTATTTCTATTGAATAGTGTGACCGCTTAGTTTGGTGAAGATGAAAAAATAACAACAATAAATAAAACTAGTTTATTGGCGATATAACAAAAGTTGAGACGAAAATACCAAATAACATATCGCCAAAACGAACTCGAATCATGCATATTTATTAAACAAACAAGTATTAAAATTAGTCTACGGGCTCCAATGTAAATGTGATTAGCACTTTAATGAAGTTCAAGTTTATATATGCTGTACGAACTATGCATGCGCGCTTAAATGATGATTTTTGTTGTCTACAGTATCATCGATGGTAAAGACCTAAATATCGATGTGTATCGAGGTGTAACAAATTAATACATCCATGATAAGTCTTAATTGAAATAGGTATATGAGATGAAAGTAAGAGAGATGAAGGCAACTATATCGTAATGTATATCAGAGTACCATGAATGGAATTTGGTTAGCAAAATTTTCAAATGGAATAGATATTATATATAAATAATAGAAGTTATATACTAATAATGAAACTATGCATAATGGAAGAGTGGGAGGATTTCGCAAGGGATATCTGAAGATATAGAAGATATTATGTTCTGTATTGTTGAAGATTGAAGAGTTTTAAGACTTTCATGATGTTATCGTTCCTGGTGTATTGGATACTAAAGAATGCTATTATATTCAATTTATACAAAATAAATATAATATAATATACACTTACACTAATATAATATACACTTTGGGTTACGCTCTTGTTTGAAGAATTTTTATAGGGTTTCTTTTCAATTCTTTGTGCATTTTCTCAAAATGCATTTAACTCACTTTGTCATAGTCAGTAAATTTGAAATGTCATTGCGACTTTCAGCTGTCGAGTGGGAGGCACAACCTTGTGCCTTTCATGTACAGCACACAGACACGTAAACATGTGCCATACAAGGCTAGACGGCCACTCGTTAGGAGTACGAGGGCGAGTGAAAGAACTGTCAGTCACAGTCAACTTTGTGGTCCAACTGCCCTTAAGTCATATATCATGTATAGAGCTTAGATAGTTGGCTTTTCCCTTTATCTAGAGCGATAGAAAATGTCAAATAATATAATAGGAATGAAATTAATGCTCGTATCATCATATATAGAATGATAAATTCTATATATGTATATCGATATACTCTTGCTTCTTCATATATTTAGTTGAAGCTGAAGCTTCTTTAGATTTATGAATTGGATAGTCAATCTCAGATTTGTCCCCTCATCCGCTCGGGTATTTATTGTTGCAATCAGGTTTTGAATAACTGGCTCAGCTTGAAGCCGCTGGGTCTCATTCAATTTGTCGTCAGCGCAGTTCACCTGTTCGCACATAAATTATTTCTTATCAAAGCGAACGAAGTGACCACACAAAACTTTTGTCTTTTTTTTTCGACCGAAATTGCAGCGTTTTCTATCTGCAATTTCAATCGTTTCTACTTCTGCTGCCGCATTTTTTTTATTTTTATTTTTTTTTTTTTTTTTTTTTTTTTTTTTTGTCACTCGATAATTTGTAGATGTTCTTCGTGCTGTCGTAAATTGTCTTTGGCAGGCCAACAGGCGTCTGGACGCTTTTCGAGTCTGTGCCAAAAAAAAGAAAAGAATGGAAGAAAAACCAGAAACTTTAGTCCTAGACGCGCTGAGCGCGACAGCCAAATCAACAAGCAATTGTTGCTGGTAAAACACGTCGATGTCCGCTGAATAACCTCATGCCCCCGCCCCCACCTCTCCTTCATCGAGGCTGCCCGGCAACCTTGGTTAAAGTCGATAAAGATTACAGCGCAGCAGGCAACGGAAAACTTTTTAATTTTATAAAAACAAAACGGAAAACAGTTGAACTGCAAGACAACAGCAAGACAAGAAGAAGATGCCAGAGTGTCAAAAAAATATACATACATATGTATATACATATATCTAAAATATATATTTGAAATATATATACGAGCATATTTATTGTACAGATACAATTCTTAGAGTTAAGCAATCTCGACTTTTTCTAAATTCCAAATTAAAATTAAACATATTAATTAAATATATTAACTAAGTAAATCAAAAAAATCTAAATTTTGTATATGTGTATTAGACTATATATAAATATATTTATAATAATATAAAATTTATAGCATAATGTATAATATATAATATATATATATAGATATATTTATGAATGAATTACTTCTGAGTCTTGGCCATAATCTTGACTTTTGCTTTTCGGAACTCTATTGCATTGAAATGTGACTGTTATACAGTTCGCTTATAGCTGAAAGACCTAATATACCAAGCTTTTGTTATAGCTTAGGTTTACACATATATCAGAGCTTTCCCACGGATACAAATGTCCCAAGAAAACCGTTATTTTTATGCTTGTCTATTTGGAAAGCTGTAATGAACGCAGGAGCTTTAAAAGCTTGGCATATATCCCTGCCTATAGCTTTTTTTGTAAAGCTTGCCGGGGATATTCATTCAGCACACATACCAAAAGCTCTTAAAGAAAACATAGCAAAATGTTGTTAAAAAAAAACACACACAACAACAATTGTTTCTAGGCTAAAATGCATTTGAGGCCGTGTCGAATTTTGGCCACTAATTGAAATTCTTTATTTATCAGGTTACTGTCCGTGAGGCTGCACTCACTGTGTGTCTGACTCTGTCCGATTGTCTCTTTATGGCGCACAGCTCCCACAGTCATGGACCTCAATCGCGTGCCCCTGGCCGAAACGTTTTTCATTTATTTGTTTTTCTTTGGGTGGGCGGCGGTGGGGCTGGCTTTCCATTCCATTTCCTCCCGCCACATGACGCGCATGCAAAACAAAAGAAAAACTGTAATGAAATTTGAAAACTGCAACAACAGCAACGGTGCGGAGAGATAACCGTGCGGGCGGGGGCGGGGTAAATATGGGTAAAATATCATCTAAAAGGCAAAACAACTTCAAATGTAACCTTGATTTTAGTCAAATGCAAAGAGTTTTCCCCCGTTTTTTTTTTTTTTTTTTTTTTTGATATTCAAATGTGGCATAATCGAGATGTTTTCCTATCTAGTATTTTCCGCTAGAAATACGACAAAAGCGTAACATATATATGTGTGTGTGTGTGTGTGTGTCTGTTCCATCATTATAAACATCAAATATTTCGATGTAAATGTCAAAAGCTTCAAATTTAGCAGCAAAACACGCTGAATGCTTCAATTATTGTTGCCAGCTCTATGCAGCTGTGTACATGTGTGCGTGTGTTTATATAAATGTGCGTGTGTGTGTGTGTCAACTGTCAACCTTTGTCAGTCCATTTGCTTGTGAAATGCTAATCCTATAAGAGCGACTGTCTCGTTTGCATCGTTTAATCAGTGAAAATCACAAAATGCGAGACAACACCGGAAACCTCTCATTCTCTGTGTGTATGCGTGTGTTGCGACTGCAAAATTCCATTTCCGTTACACAAACACACACATAAAGAGATATATGTATGTGTGGAAAAGAACAATTCAGCATATAATACTACGTGATTATTATAATGATAATATTAACAGCAAGAATCCGGTTTTCTGAATCAGAATGCGGTTTGCTGTCTGAGAGGCCTGGGCATCAATTTGAACTGTTAGTCTCTATCAAATGATAAGTAATCAATAGGTTTTTGCTTACATGGTCTATAATGGCTAAGGCCTTGCCCTAAAATATGCATTTAATAAATCCGAGATCGGCGAGAATACAAGGAACAGAGAGCAGACAGTAAAACATGACGTTCGATGAATGAAAACGGAAATGAAATAATTACAGAATTTATTGTCTATTTTCTACATAGATGATCTGAAATTCCATTGAGTTTTCTTTAATTTCCCTAAACCCAAAAAAAAGTCAATTTCAGTTAAATTTGAATTCACTTCAGCAGCTACCTCAAGCTGCTTCAATATTGACAATAACAGCAACAACAAGTGCCATTTGAATGCCGACGACGACGACGACATCGCACCGCATCATTATCATTGGCCGTTAGAGCCGTGTTCGCGGTTGAAATAGCCAATTACTGCAGGAAACCATTAGCGTTCGTATCAGTGTCGTCAATCTAAGTACTTCCGGCCAGGCTGCAGACGCCCTCAAATTCAAACCGAAGCAGTCGAGGCAGAAGTGTGCTGCCAGAAATGGCCACCGTCTAGTGGGCATGGCAAACAGAAAAAAGGCGAAAGCGATGAACAGCATTATGCTCACTGCATTGATGAATATCTGTATGTATATATGTATATTTAAATGAATATATAGATATATACATAGGTATATTAAGTATCTAGTCTAATCAATAACAAATTGAAATTAATTTTAAAAACATTAAATTTATAAAAATATTTCGAGTGAAATGATTAACTTCAAAAATGTTTAGAGATTGTCATTGAGATTTTTTTTTTATCGAATTTCCTATTCGAAGTTGTCATCTGCAACGAACAATTAATGAAACCATTTCCAGTTTTATTGAATTCAACATTTTTAGCCGATTTATTGTTACTTAAAAATCTACTATATACTCAAAGCGTCATTTGACATTCTAGTCTAACAGGTATATAACTTATATTGAAAACTGAAAACTATTTATAGCTAATGGATGTTACGTATTCATCATGCACATTCACACGTGCTAAAACTTGTGGCCTTGTTGCTTATTGGTTTTATTCTTAACGTTTGTAGGCTTTTGCCTACATAATAAAGCAGCAGCTTTGAGATGAATTTGACGAGTTTGAAAGCTGGAAATCTATAGCTATGTAGCACAGACAGGTTAGTTTCTACGT